GAGCAGTCCATGCAAGCACGGAAAATCACCAACAGCTTCCCGACAGTCCTTCGTGAAAAGCCTACAGAAGCTCTTTGATGTTCCGGAAGCAGCAGCCCCTTCCACAGAGCAGCCTCGGAGCCGCTGGACGGACCTGTTCGCGCCTCTCCTGCCATCGCGGCCCTGCAAGCCCTCGGATCATCGGCCTAAGCACCAGCATACCCACCACCCTCTTTCTGCCGGGGACCGAGGTGCTCCCCAGCTGATAGGGTCTTCTGAGTTGACACCATGTGGCTACAAGAGGGTTTTTCTTGGGGTGTCCGATTTCAGATCTGCAGCACCCCCCAGCTTGCCCTGACACAGGAGTCCCCCACGGCTGCTGCCTTCCAGAACGTGGCCCTCTCCTCCATCGCCCAGCTCCACTGAGAGCCCACCGCGCGCTCGCGGGGTCCTCCCACACACCCTGCATCCTACCCTCCATCCTTCCCCCGGGATCCCATTCTCCTCGCCCCCACATCCTTTTGTGGTTCCCTCATGGGCTCAGTCTGCTCTGCCCCCTTCTCGCCTCTCCCCAAGATTGAACGCCGTTCCGCGGCGCGCCCTCTCTCCTGCCCCTCCCCCACCTGACCCTCCGCCGCTAAGTGAGGCGCGGACATGAGACTCCCCCCTCCTGCTCGGGACTCACCGTGCACCCCAAAGAAACCTTTGGGGGAGGGGAAGAATCAGTACCGGAAAAGAGCGTCAGCATCCAAAGACCGGAAGTAAGCTTTGACAGGAAACCCCGGTGCTCCGCCCGATGCCTTCTGGGAGTTGTAGTTCTTGGGACAAGCCCCACCTTTCCCTTTGTAGTGCTCGCGGGCCTCGGAGACACGAGGCACTTCAGAAAGGCTTGGCTATGCGTTCTCCTTGCTTTTATTATTCTGCCCCTTTCAATGGCTTTTCAAGCTGGTTTGCCTTTAGCGTATGTGGCCAGCACCTGATCAGCTGCTTTGCGGAACTGGCATACCTAGAGATTTTGATCATATATTTAGAATGGCGAGTGTACTGTCGAACCAGGAATTAGAGAAAAGCTATTCCTCTCAGGGTTACCAGAATTCTGATTCTAGGCAGGACACTTAGTCACCCCCTACATCCAGTCAGTAACCAAGCCTGAGCTTTATTTAGAATTCCTTTGAGGTGCTAACTCCATGTACCAGTCTGACTCCTGTGCTGTTGTGTCACATACTTAAATTTTCTTTCTAAAGATTTTAAACGCCACGAGACATTGTCATTTTTGTTTTAGAGTCAATGTTTTTTTATTTTGTTAATCCTTACCCGAGGACATTTTCCCGTTAATTTTTAGAGAGTGGAAGGGGGGAAGAGACAGAAACACAGATGGGAGAGACACATCCATTGGTTAATTGGTTGCCTCCTGCATGTACCCCCACCGGGTAGGGATCCAGCCAAGGTACATGCCCTTGACTGAAATCGAACCCGTGACCCTTTAGTCTGCAGGATGGCTCTATCCACTGAGCCAAACCGGCTAGGGCATGCTATGTCCATTTTTATAGTTTCATGTCTCTGCTGAAATTTCTAAGCTTGGCTTTTATCTTCTTGTTTTCACTTGTATAATTTCAATATGTGGAATTGCCGTGGGTCTGTTTATTGTCTGTCATTTCTATTTGGTCTCATTTACATTGCCTTATCTCTTCAACTGCTTGATTTTTATTGTGGTTGATGTTATATTTGAAAAATTATTTATTATAATAGTTTTGAGGTCTAGGTTGATGTTACGTTCCTCTGTTTGATCCTACCAAGCATCTGGATATGATAGCAATCTGGGATCATCTTATTCCTAAATTTGAGGCTTAAGAATTTCTGGACCACCCAGAATGGTGGGAGGCGAGGCTGCCGAATATGAGGAATGGCTTACTTCTGATCCACCTCTAGGGGTCCTAGTTCAAATGCTGGATCTTTACCAGCATCCCTATCTTTAGCTCTCCCAATTCTAACTTTTTCTCTCCCTATCTTTCAAGGCCCTCAAATCCTCTCAGGAACTTTTCCCCAAGTGGCAAAAACTCCCAGGACAAAGGTAGTCTTTAGGCCATTTTTCCTCTCTAGATTCCCAGCCATCTTATTGGCTCTTTGATGCTTTTTAAATCCTTTAAACATATATTGCATCTGACTGTAAAAATTTCTGTGAGGCCCTGGCCAGGTAACTCAGTTGGTTAGACCATTCTCCTGATACACCAAGGCTGCAAGTTCAATCTTGCAACCAATGAATGCATAACTAAGTGGAACAACAAATTAATGTTTCTCTCACTCGCTCTCTAAAATCAATAAAAAATTTAAAAATTTTCTGGTGAGAATGTTGGTCTAAATTAACAGGGGTCCTCAAACTACGGCCCGCGGACCACATGTGGCCTGCCGAAAACATTTATCCGGCTCACCGGATGTTTTTGCTGCCGCTGTGTGCATAGGAATTTGTTCATAGTTTTTTTTTTTAAACTATAGTCCGGCCCTCCAACGGTCTGAGGGACAGTGAACTGGCCCCGTTTAAAAAGTTTGAGGACCCCTGGAAAATATCCAGACTGCCATAATCAGAAGTGGAACCTCCCAGCATGATTTATTCATATATCACAGAACTCCAGGCCATAACCTCACTATACAAGATAAAAGTTCACACCATTAGCGGTAGAGCCAGGTCTAGTCTAGATCTAAGAACTACTAAACTCCACCTGCATAAGATCTGGATGCAAGGGTTTTTTGGTGTTTTTTTTTTTACCTTTTTACCTGAGGTAAGGAGAGAGCAGTCTTGCCAAAAGATCAGTTAGAAGTATACATTCCTCCCTCTGGCTGGTTTGTCTCAATGGATAGAGCATCGGCCTGCAGACTGAAGGGTCCCAGGTTTGATTCCGGTCAAGGGCACATACCCGGGTTGTGGGCTTGATCCCCAGTAGGGGGGCATGCAGGAGGCAGGCGATCAATGGTTCTCAACATCGATATTTCTATCCCTCTCTCCCTTCCTCTCTAAAACCAATAAAAATATATTTAAAAAAAGTATACATTCTTCTCCCAGACTGACTAATGGGGGTGGGGGTGGGGGGTAGGATGAGGAATCTGGCATTTTATGGTCTGGGGATGGGGAATGGAAGAATGCAACCTTTCTCATTCCTAAACCATGGGTTACAGATATCCCACGACCAGTTATCCCTTAACTTTCAGTGTTTCTTAACATCTGTGTTAAGTGAACCGAACTTCAAATTCCTCTAGATCCACTTTATAAAAACCCTCTAAGACCAAGAAGTTGTCTTCAGCTAGACCCCCCCCCCCCCAGCCCCCCCCCCCCCCCCCCCCCGCAAAACAAACACCAAGACACACTCACAACAAAGACCACGCCATTTATTTACAAAGGCCAGTGTGGGAGCTGAGGGAAGGATGGAGAGGAGCCACGCAGACATCCTCTCTGGAGTGCTTGGGGCCCTTTCCCACTGGGAGAAAATCCTGTTTCTCATGCCTCCATATTCTCAGCCATGGGCCCGCCAAGCAGCTGGGCTAAGTAGCAGAGAGCGGAGGTGATATGAGCCTCCCCTGTGCTCCAGTATAGTCACGTCCAACTCCAGATCACAGGCAGCATTGCCAGCCTCTCCTTTCCTGTCTCAAATAGAACTTTCTGGCCTGGAGGGAAACAGTGAACTCAAAGGGCAAGGGCCAGGGGCTCTAGATGGAAAGACCCTTCTACCATCCCCTGAAGCAATCAGGAGAGGGGTGTAAGGGTGTTGGTCACAGTTCTGGTAGAAGGAGTATCCACACTACCCTTGGGTTACCCAGCATCCAGAGGCCCAAGGGACCTACCTCCCTGGGCTGTACATATTCCTGCCCTAGACTAGCCCTTCTGCCTATTTTTCTGGTCGGGGGAGCTCTGAACCAGAAATCAGCAAAGAACCCATTTCTACTGAACCCATATGCACCCCACCACCACACACCCACTGCCGAGCCAGACCCCAACCCACTTCAAGTCTTTTAAGGGGGGCTCAGATCACTGGTACCTGGGGACACAGACAGGTCCTGTGTTCATGGAAATGTGTGTGTGTGAGGAAATGGAGCTAATATGGCCCCTTGTGAGCCATCTCCTTAGCTTCATTGAGCCCTTCAACTCAGGCTACATTAGCATCTCCAAGTCTCTCTCCTCTGCCACGCCTGAACCAGGACTCTCCTGCCTAATAGAGCAATTAGTGCTTCCACTTCCTAACTGTCAATTCAACTTCCAAGCCTTTTCCTCAGGCTGTTTTGCCCATTCCCTTCCTCCAGAAACCTCAGGCCCTTCTCCTGGGCACCAGTCTCTGTTGGGCTGGTCCAGGGCTGGTTAATTCCTTGTTCAGACACAGTCCTATCTCCTCCTTCAGACAGGAAGAACAGGCACCTTCCTCCCCCTGGAAGTCCCAACAGACCCCATTAAAAAGCACTTCAGGGGCGAGGAGGGAATCTCAGCCTGCTTCACCTGCCCCTCCTTCCGAGGATGGAGTTCTAGCACTGGTTAGGCTGGGGGTGAGCGGGGATGCGGAAAGAAAGAAGAGAGTTACCAAAAGTAAACATGAGGCCGGCAAACCCCTAGTGGTGCAGGTGAAAGACCACGTTCCAATAACCAGAGAGTCGGTTCCTCCTTCAACTCTGCGCTGCCACTGAGAAGTGTGAAGAGATTGCAAAGGCGGTTGTGGGCCAATCAACAAAACTGTGAAGACCGTCAAATAGTTCTGCTCAAGCAGGAGCAGGAGAGGACATTCTGTAAGAAGTGGAAGTAGAACCAAAGTTCCCAGGCAGAGCTACAGGGTTGGGGTCCACGCCGCTAAAGCCACCCTGTGTCTGAAGAGGACAGGAAGAAGACAGGGGATGACAAGCGGCAGAGGGAAGGAGCGGACAGGAACCAGAGGTGGCATCCAGGGAAGGGAGAAGCAGGAGGCGCGGCCACAGGCTTAGGAGAGCTGAGAGCCCAGCAGTCTCTCAATGGCCGCATTGATGTCCCCTCCTGTGGCAATCAGGGCCTGCAGGTTAGCCTCCCGGTTGATGAAGCCCATGGCGTTGAGCTGATCTAGCTGCTGCTGGAATCTCACTTCTGGCGTCTGCACCTACAGGGGACAGGCCTTGTGAAGCGGACACAGGACCAACTTCAGAAGCTGGGGGTTTATAACGAAGAGAAGACAACCTGTAGGTCTTCTCGAACCTCCTCAGAGTCAATCAATGGAGCAGGGTGGTGAGCTGCAAACAACTGTGTGATAATGAGGTGGAGGTGTCTTTCTTAAAATTTCAAAGTAACAGGCAGGCTTCGGTCAGCATATATGCCTAACCACTTCCCATCAATAGTCTGGAGCTGTTAACAGGTACTCCAAACGCCAGATGCGCGGTGGTGGATAAGATGTGTACTAAACACCACCTCTAAACCCCTCCTAGCCGTCCTCACACATACAGTCACAGTAGAGGCCAGAGAATGGCTCCAGGAAAGAAAGAATCTGTTTAATTTTAACCAATCCACAAACATAGCTATTTACAAAAGAGGAGGCTTTTCCGATGTGACACTCCTATAAACATCTCCTGGAAGTGTTTTCCCAAGAGATGTTTATGAAGCTCTAGCCTAGACCATGAACAGAAGACTCAGAGCTGGAAGGAGCCCAGCAATCACAGGCCACCTGGCTGCTGCACCAGAGCCCCATCCAGCGCTCCATGCCACCCACAGGGTTTAAGTGGGGCTCAACCTTGGCGATCACTGGTTCAGCTTTTGCAGAGCTGGGCATACCTACATTTCCACTGATAGGCTTTCCCCAGATGAGTTACAAAGGCCCGAGAAAGGTTAGAGGTTTTCCCAAGGTCATCCTCACTCCCTCAAACCCCTAGCTTTCACTTAGTACCCCAGGGCTTTAGTGACCTCACCTCCCAGAATCCTCTTCTCAGGTCTCAAAGATGGAGGCTGCTTTAATTATCAACAGAATCCCATGGCCCTAGCCAGTGTGGCTCAGAGGATAGAGCGTCAGCCTGAGGACTGAAAGGTCCCAGTTTCGATTCCGGTCAAGGGCACATGCCCAGTAGGGGATGTGCAGGAGGCAGCCGATCAACGTTTCTCTCTCATCATTGAAGTTTCTATCTCTCTCTCCCTCTTCCTTCCTCTCTGAAATCAATAAAAATATTTTAAAAGAAAAAAAAAAGAATCCCATGATATGAGTGGAAGTGGTAAAACACAGTAGTTACGGTGTAAATCCCGGAGCCAGCACGCCTCGGTTTGAGTCTTGGCTCCATTGCTCACTGGTTTTAGACCGAGCAAGCCCCTTCATCTCTCTGGGCTTCAGCTTTCTCCTTTTGTAACACAGGAACTATAATAATAGCTCCCTCACAAGGCTGTTGTGGGAAATAAATTAGATGAGGCACTTCGAACAGTACCGAGCACATGGTAAGTGCTATTACTATTCTCATCTCCATTTCACAGCTGTGGAAACTGAACTGAGGGAAGATCAGTAACTTGCCCAAGGCTGGAAAGTGGCAAACTAGGGTGTAAAGCCAGGCTGGCTGCCTCCAAAGCCTGCTCTGCTCTCTCCATTCTACTGCGACCCCTGGCACCACCGGGACGGAGTGGCAGTCCCAGCACCCGCCCCGCTGCCCGTGTACCTGCGAGTTTCCACTTCCTGCCAAAAGCTGGATCATCTGCTGCATGAGCTGCTGCTGGGCGCTGGAAGCCCCTGTGGGAGAAGTGGCTGGTGGGGCTGGTGAGGAGGTGGGGGCCTCGGGTGCAGGCCCGGCGCTGCTTGCTGAGGGTGTGAGGGTCCGGGACATCCCGAAGGAGCCGAGGCTGCAGACAGGAGAGACCAAAAGCTGGGAGATGGCCTCTGAGAAAGGGATGAGAACATGAGATCCGGAAGGAAAGCAATTGGAGGAAACAGGAAAACCGACACAATGGCTGCTCTGAGTGACAGAGGGAGGGGTGAGGGGAGAAGTCGCCAGAACCTTGCTGCCCATCTGCCTCCTACCCTCACCTGGGTATCAGCCCGGGGGCCTCAGTCTGCAAGGTCTGCAATCCCTGCTGGATCTGCAGCAGTGCCTGCATGGCGCGGGGATTGGTAAGGATGGAGAGTGACTCTGGGTTCTGCATCTGGTGGGACATGAGCAGAGAAAGGCAATGGGAGGTGGCAGGAGACAGGAAGCAGCCTAAACCCTGAGTCCAGGGCCGAGCTCTGCCCCGTCCCTGCAGTTCCACCCCTTGGGCTTCAGGGTCCACCCCCTGCCCTCTAGGCTCCTCACTGACCTGCTGCAGGAAGACGGGGAGCTGCAGGCGGAGCTGCTCCTGAAGCTGGGGGTTTCCCGCGAAGAGCGGCACGTTCACCATCATCTGCCAGGGTCAAGGGAGTAGGGGGAGGCCTGGGCCTACCCACCCTCAGAATTCCCCCACAGCCTCAGTCTCCCTCGGCACCCCTACCACTGCAGGAAATCTGGCCAGCTTTTCCAAGGATCTCAAAGTATCCTGAAGGCCTAAGTGGGACAGCGAGAGGAAATAGAACTATACTCCGGGCAGTGATGACATCAGGAGCCAGGCTGCTCAGCCCTGGGTCTGATAATGACCGAGGACACAGTGCCTACGATGTGCCAGGCCAAGTTCAAAGCCCTTTACATGCACCAACTCATTTAATCCTCACAAACCTACGAGGAACTATTGCTACCAGTTTACCGCTAAAGAAACTGGGAGGTTAAACTACTTGCTTAACTTACACAGCGAGGAAGTGCTGATGCTTGAGATACAAACCCAGGCAGTCTGGCTCCCGAGTGTTTTGACCACAAGTAACTGCCCCCAGTGCACCACCCAGGACCGTTCCATACCTGAGCGGCGAAGTCCGGGTTCTGGGCAAGCGTCTGCATCATGCTGCGCATGTAGGGGGCGGAGATCACGTTCTGCATCAGCTGGGGGTTCTCTGAGATCTGCTGGAGCAGGGCCTGCATTTCCGGGCTGTTGAACATCCCTAAGGGGGGAAAACAAACCACACAGGAGAGAGGGGGTCCAGATGGAAGCCAGAGGCCACATCAACCGACCTTACTTCAGACACCGAGTGGCTACAGAACTCAGAAAGGCAGCGGGACAAGGGGCACCCAGGTCCTGGGCGTGGTCCAGGCTCTGCTGACTCCCGCTGGGGCCCGGCCCCTTTCCCATCCACTCTGCTCAGGACAAGACAAGCCCGTTGGAAACTGGGTCTGATTCATGCCCTGCTCCTCTCACAAGCTCAGAGAATGTCAGCGTTGGAAAGGATGTGACTAAAGATCATGTAGATCAATGGTTTCCAAACTTGTCTTAGCAGCAGAGACTCTTATCTCAAACCAAATCTCATGCAGAAACCCAGCATGGTCCGGGCTGGAGCAGGAGGCCTGGAGCCTCTCCCCTTTGGTCCTTTCCCATCCTGAAGATGGCCCAGACTTCCCAGAATTCAGGAGCAGACTTTTAAAACCATGAGTCAGGTTCAAGTCCCTTATTTTATAAATAAGGGAACTGAAGCACATAGAGGGAAAGGGACTTTCCCAATAAAGATATGCCCCAGGGAACAGAGAAATCAGGGCATCTACCAAAGACATCCTCTGGGTCGTAAGTACAGCCAGAGTCCAGATAAGTGGGGCACCCCGCAGGGTCATGCAGTCACAACCTGCACATGGTAGCTCTGCATCTGCCTGTCCCCAGGTCTGCCCTGGTTCCTCTCCACACCCTCATCCCCAGTCTGACCCATTTACGCTGGACAGTACCACTTGTGCTGAAACAGCTTAGAAGGTGGGGCTGGTTTATTGGTGAGCCATTACTTAGGTCACTCCCAATGGTATCAGGGCCTGGCTGGAACCAACCCTCACTCTCTGAGGGGTGGAGCCACTGCCTCAGGCTGCAGAGGCCCCTCTGTGGCTTCCATAGTCTCACCTCTGTCTTCAATATTCTGAAACAGTATGAACCCCACTCAGTCCTGGGCCAGAGGAAGTGCCCTGGAGACCCACTGTGCTCCTTCCACCCGAGGACATACCTGACCCCAGGCTAGCCGCATTGATCCCAAAGGGGTTCGAGACTGTCGGGTGCACCTGGCTGGTCCCCGATCCTCCGGTGCCCTCCCCACCGGACCCGGGGGCCTGGGAGGTGGGGGGCGAGGGGCTCCAGGGGTTAGGGAGGGGCTCTCGATTCTCAGTCCGCAGAGGCTGGGAAGATGAGCTGTCGGAGTTCCCGGCCAGGGAAGAGAAGGGATTGTTGCCAAACTGGGAGGAGGGAAAGGGTTCGGGTTAAGGACTGAAACAAAGCAGGGACAAGGGCTACACCCCTTCTCTCCTCTCACCTAGTAGCCTCCCCTTCCCAGGAAAGGGAGAGAGATCTGAGACCTTAGGAATCCTCAGCTCAATCTTTAGCCCCACAATGGGCAGCTCCAGCCCTATCTTGCAGGCGGAGCTGGCTGATGCTAATGACTGGATAAGTGAACCCCTCAGATTAACTGGAAACTCCCCGCTCTCCTGGTGGCTCTAAATATTCGGTCTCTAGCCTCCTCTGTGCTCCACAGTACTTTACACACACTCCCGTGTGCAGCCAGATCGTCTTCCTCAGCTCCTCAGGCACAGACATTGGACTCACCTTCACACCCTGCTCCTGACACCTTCAATGCTGATTTGCCTCCAGCTGCCCCTTTTCCGACCACCTTGGCCCAATACTAACTCCCCAGAGCTTCCTCCCCCACTGCCTGGGTCCCCTATGTGGGCTCCGTCCCCCCAGGCACTCCACCATGGAGCACATCTCTAGGCCTCCAATCTCCTCTCCCCACGCCCAGCCTACCTCCTCATCCCCCTCAGCACCAGGCTCCCACCAAGTCACTCAGGGTCTGGACCATCCTATGGTGCTGCCTGAACCTCCGCCCTCTGTCCAAGGGGTGTGCTCGCTGGGGAAGTCCCAGCCCCATTCCTGGGCTCAGCCTCTGTCCTGAGTTCTTAGGCCGTCCTGACCTAAGCAGGTCTCTGAGCAGCCTCAGCCCTCCCCCTGGTGCGGTTTGCAGTTTCACATCCAGTCACTTTTTCTGTTTATTCAGAGTGGGTCATGGGACCACGCTGACCCTGACCAAGGACTCTGCTGCTCTGAGCAGTGGCTCTCTCACCTCACCAGGTGCCTGTTCAGATAACGGGCTTGCAGGCCAGAGTTCGTGCACCCGGTTCCAGTCTCTGTCCCTGTTTCAGATTTCCTGTTCTGTGACTTGACTAGCACCCAACTTTGGAGCCCGGTTTTGTTCTTCCTGGTATACCCTCAGGACTAAATCTCTCTTCCTAAACTCCCTATAGTGAGATCAGCTGCCATTTATTGTAATGTTTACAATATCCCTCCAATACGTCAGTTCTCAAAGTGTGGTCCTAGGACCCCTGAAAGGTTCAAAACTAAGTTTATAATTCTCAGATGTTATTTGCATTTTTCACTTCCATTCTCTCATGAGTACTGAGTGGAGTTTTCCAAGGACTACATACATAACATGTGACACTGCAGGGGACTGAATGCAGAAGCAGATCTGACAATCCAGCTGCTTTGTAGCCAGACATTAATGCAGTGGTTCTCAACCTTGGCTGCACATTAGAATCGCCTGGGAATCTGAGGCCCGGCCCAGAAATCAGGATTTTAAACAGATTCCCAGGCGATTCTAATGTGCAGCCAAGGTTGAGAACCACTGCATTAAAGAGATCTGTAAAAATGCAAAACAACACCCTGGCCAGATAGCACAGTTGGTTAGAGTGTCGTCCCAATATGCCAACGTTGCAGGTTTGATCCCTGGTCAGGGCAAATACAGGAATCAACAACAACAAAAAACGCCGCGTTGTAAAAAAAAACATAACAGGTT